GAACAGCAGAATTCTACAACTGGATTCTCATCTGAATCTTAAGGGGAATGCTTCCAAATATGCTCCTACACATCGCTGTTAGGTTGCTTTGCCGGGATAATTCTCTTGGAATTTGGAACCTGGGGGTGCCGGAGAGCCCCCAGAAAACCTCCAGAATCTCCCATAGGTTTGGTTGTTGTTGTTGTTGTTGTTGCTGCTGTTGTTGTTGTTGTTGCTATTGTTGTTGTCGCGTCGTCGTCGTTGTCGTTGTAGTTGTTGGTGTTGGCGTTGGTATTGGTGTTGTTGTTGCTGCTGCTGCTGTTGTTGTTATTGTTGGTGTTGTTGTTGCTGTTGTTGCTGTTGTTGTGGTTGTTGTTGCTGTTGTTGCTGCTGTTGTTGGTATTGTTGCTGTTGTTGTTGTTGGTGTTGTTGTTGTTGTTATTGTTATTGTTGTTGTTGTTGTTGTTGTTGTTGTTGTTGTTGTTGTTGTTGTTGTTGTTGTTGTTGTTGTTGTTGTTGCGTGTGGCTTTTGATGTGTGATGTTTCCGGTTGGTTTTTGGAGGGGTTTCAAATGTAGAATTGTTGTGAAATGTGGGGCCCCAGAACCCTCCCACCAGAATAGAAAACAACTCAGAGTTGGGTGTTTATCTATTCTTGTAATTTTGGCTGCTGGGGCCTGGGGTGGCCGGAGATACCCCGAAAAACCATCGAACAACCTTAGATGTGTTTGTTGTTTTTTGTTTATTGTCTGTGTTTTGTCAGGTTGCTTTTCAACAACAGTATTGCTGTTGATTGTGGGCCCCTGGATCCCCCAGAAAACACCACAAAAATCTCCGAGGTGGAGGGCTTCCCAAAAGTTTTCCCTCCTGGAGCCTGGGGTGGCTGGAGAACCCCGACGGGGCGAAGCTTCTTTTCCCCTTCTTGCCCTTCATTCTCATAATCTTCGATCTGGACCCTTCTGGACGCATTGGGGTTCACGCTGGGTGATGGATTCCCCCTTGTCGCGCCTGTCGGAAAAACAACACTTCCTCCGCTTCATCTCCCGGAAATTGCTTCCCAAGGCATCAGGCGTCGCTCCCCTCAGGCAGCTCTGAGTTGTCTCGAATGTGTCAGCAGCCGCTTCCGAAGCGAGAGGAGACGGCATGAATACTGGGCCTTCCCCCGAGGCTACCGGGGTGTCGATCCCGCGTCAGAGTGTGGATGTTTCCACCCTTGTCCTCCAGACGCATCCCTGGTCATGGTCTTGCACGATTCTGACTCTGATGGTAGGAGCGACTCGACCCTTGATTCCCTCCAGGGTCCTTCTCGTGACTGGGCGTGGGCGGACCTTCTTCTGGGGCCCAGAGGTTGTAGCTCTCATGCTCTGGAAGTTCGGACAGGGGTCCTTCCATCTGATCTCTTTGGGGGCCCTTGCTTCGATCTTGGTTACCGCGATGTCGACTATGTATCGGGGTATCGCAGCAGTCATGACTCTGGTCATGACGCTTGTCATCGTGTTGGTATTCTGTTGCAATTACGGCTGAAAGCTAATTATTTGGCGACTCATCAACACATTCCAACAAACGAGCGTGTTCCTCACCCGGGTCTCTGAGCTCAGGGTGCGCATTCTTGTCAACTGATATTTCTCTCATAGCGTTGGTCGCAAAGGCTTACCAAGTACAGTTCAGTGAGTTTGGAGCCGAGTGGAGTGCGTGCTGGCTAGGCAGGCGCGCGCCCTGTTTCTCCGCCGTGCGCTTCGCTCAGTCCTCGCAGTGAGTACTTCAGCCAAGCGCGTGCAGCGGCGCGCGGATGTAAGCTCAAAAGACATGCAGAAGCGAGCGACAGTAACGACTCGAAGCGAAGGCACCTCCGCAGGCGGAAGCAAACATTGCGCCCCAGTGACTGCCAACGATTTGGGGGATAAGGTTTCCAGAAGCCGCCAATCGGAGCCGAGCCTCTCGCCCACCTGATGACGCGAGTGGACTTCAGTCTGAAGTGGAACCCTCCGCCGTCCATCCCCAATGGTATCGCCAGGTCGTCCAACCCCAAAAAGAGCCGTCGACGGCTTGAAAGATCACGGGCGGCTGCGAACGGTCCGACGTTTCAGCGAGCTCCACCACGAGCCGACGCCACCGCAGTGACAGCCGGGAGAGATGCCACAGGAGAAAGCGAAATCGGAGAGGCTCTGAACGCCCAGCTCCCCCTCCTTCCTTCCGTCTCGGCCTTCTCTCCAGTCTCTCCCCGTCTAACCGGCCACCCCCTTCTCCTTTTCCTCCTCCTCCTCCTCCTCCTCCTCCTCCTCCTCCTCCTCCTCCTCCTCCTCCTCCTCCTCCTCCTCCTCCTCCTCCTCCTCCTCCTCCTCCTCCTCCTCCTCCTCCTCCTGGGTCTGCAGGCGGTCGACCCAGAGCTCCCGAGCCACCCGCCGACCTCGCCGGGCGCCGAGGCCGGCCTGCAGGCGTCCTCCTGCTGCTCGTCCTCGTTCTCCTCTTCTCCTCCTCCGCCCTCCTCTTCCGCCTCCGCCTCCTCTCGACGCGCTCCTCCTCCACCGTCTCCTCCTCCTCCTCCTCCTCCTCCTCCTCCTCCTCCTCCTCCTCCTTCTCCTCCTCCTCCTCCTCCTCCTCCTTCTCCTCCTCCTCCGTGAAGGGTGGATGGGGGGAGAAGGGCGTGGCCGAGACCGCGGATCGCCTCCGTAGCAGCTGTCGTTCGCGATCGGGTACCCCAGGTGGAGCAGGTGCACGCGGATCTGGTGCGTGCGGCCTCCCCCCCTGGGCAGGCCATTCCCTGCCCAGACGCAGGCAAGAACAACTCCTCGACGCCGCTGGTGCTCTGAGAGGCCCGCCGTCCCAATGTGACCCCCCCCCCAGGCCCGCCAAGCATGCCCCCTGAGAGGCCCCGGCGAGGCCCTGTGGGCTCAAGAGGCCCCACATGGCCCCAAGATGACTCAATAGGATTCCGGACGCTCCCCAAATAGCCCCACGGAGGCACCATCGGATCTCTGAGAGGAACCCAAAACGATATGCGGAAACCTTTGCTTGGAAGCCTCCTCCCTTTCTTCCCGCCCCCCCTACGAACGAGTAACTACATTAACATAGTGGCCCGTAGGAGGCCCGCCCACCCAGAACCGCCAGGAGGCCACGATTGTCCCACGCAGCATGAATCCCATATGTGCATATATATATATATATATATATATATATATATATTGTCTCGCGAGTTCCCTGTGCATAGGTGGCTGAGTACGGGCGTGGCTGGGCGCCTGAATGGTTATCCCCTGGCGGCTCTCGAGAGCTCGAGAGCTCTGCCTGCAGGAACTTACGGTCGGGAAATGCTTCGCTTCGCGTGTCCCGGCCCCGCCGACACGCTGTGCCGTTCAAGCGGGTTAGCGAGTCGCTTCTCTCCGCTGGAAGGGTGAGGGGCAACGATAGGGGGGGATAGGCATACGTGGGGAAATCTCGACCTGGAATCGGCGATACATCGCCGATAGATCGGCGATAGGCCCCCGATTGTGAATCCGAAGGTTCCTGTGCAGATTGGGGCTATCGGGCCCCTATCGGCGATCAATGGGCGATTGGGGGTCGATGCATCCCCCCCTATGCCCATCCCCCCTATCGTTGCCCCTGAAAAGGAGGCCAAAGAAGGTTCGAAGCGTTGACGCTCGGGGACCGGGACGTTGCCAGCGTGTCGCGCCGAGGCGTGGTGGGCCAGGACTGGCGCGGCGCGACGCGCGAAAATCAAAGCTCCCGGCCGTGCAGCGTGAGAGAGGTGCGGCGTCCGAGGTCGGGAGGGCAGAGGCCGAGGGCAGCAGGCAGACGAGGGTGCTTTGCTGCTTAGCTTAGCTCGAGCATGTCCTCCTACAGGCGGATTTTAGACGAAGAATAACGAACAATCAAGACACAATCAAGACTACTTGAAAGAGCAAGACACATCGTCATTCGACTATGTTTTTACTATTCTTGACTGTTCCTCCTGCTTAGCCTGCCGCGCGCGCCTGACCGAACGGATAAGCTCACCAATCGATGCGCCAAAAAGCTTGCCAACGACCGGTCGACACGCCATGCGAAGAGGACGTGGAGGAGAGGGGCGCACCAGGAAGAGTAGGATGAGGCCAATATGTCGACTCGTCATGACGCTTTCTTCATCTGCACGATGGAGCCCTTGATGCTGGCTTCGTCTTGGGCAATCTTCCAATGTGCCTCTCATGCTCTGCTCTGCCAGGTAGAGCATGCTATCACCAACGCGTCTCCCATAGCTGTGAATCTCGTCGCTCTATTGTCGCTGCCTTGAACTGCGGCTTGCCAAAGGACTCGCGCCGAAAAAACGTTCCCAAGCTAACCCTCATCGATTGTCATTGCACCCCATTGTCTGGACACCCAACGCCACTTATTGTTAACGACAAACGTGGCATTTGCAGACACCCCTGGGGTCATGGCGTGCGGGGCTCCTTCCCCTCCTCTCACCGCTCCGCACCAGCCTCGGGAATTTATGAATTGGATTGTGTGGGGGGAGGGGGGGGGGCGGGGGGCGACCAGGCTGGACAGTCTACTGACAAAAGAACTCAGTTTTTGGGTCACCGCTTCCGCTCATGTTCTAACTCTTCCTCTACCTTTCTCTCCCATTTGCCTCCTCCTCCCCCCCCCTTCTCCGACTGTTCCCCTCTGGCCCCCCCCTCGCCTGACCATCCCTTTTCCTCGGCCGCCCCCCTCCACCTCCATCTTCCTCCTTCTGATTGACGGCTTTTGCCTCATCCACAACCCACCTGCCTGTCTTCAATATTGTTTCATGCTCCTCCAACTTCCCCCATCCTCCTCCTCCCCCTGCTTTTCCCCTCCTTGAAGAACGAAGCCGAACACTCGTTCTCTCGCGTCGGGTCTTGATGTTTTCAGGGGGCGCACAAATGGCATGATGTACATCGCTCCACAACGCACTCCCTGAGGGATCGTTGTTTCCTCTATCAAAAATCAGACCCGTCAGCTGCATAGTTACGACGCCACGAAAGCACTACCAGGAGCGCCTCGCTCGACCTCCAAGGTACGTTGCCGAACTCACAGCCTCTGTTTGCCGATCACGGCGTCCCTCTCTTGCAGCGTTTTCTCCGACTGGAGGTAGATTATGATGAGGATGCTGATCGGCACGATCACGAGGACCAAGTTGGCCGCCCAAGCTGGCTGCTGGATTTGCAGCGCGGTCACGATCGAAGTAGCATCCGCCATGGCCTCCACGGGCAAAGCCGCCCTGGTTGGCACGATGGAAAATGCCCTGGCGGAGAGCCGTGTTCTGGGCCCTGGGCCTCCTCCCGTGCTCTTCGGGGCGGCAGACAGTCTCCACCAGGACCCCCCGAGCTCCAAGACCAATCTGCTCCATGCCTGGGGGCAGAGGGCCACCCCAGAAAAACGAGAGACTTGTCAGACACTCCGAACCTCGATTCTCAACGCCCCCGGACTCGGCTACACGTAAGACTGACCATAGGCAAGGGATGCGAGGGGGCCAATCCGAAGCGCGCGAGCCGCTGCTATCGCACTGCAGTCAACGACCAGAGGGGGGATCCCACAGGGACTGGACCACAGGTCACACCGGCAAGCGGTCACTCGCACGCATGGTCGAAGGTCGAAGAACCCTCGCAGATGTGGACCTTTTCCCTGGATTCCCTGGTACAAATTTCGCATCCCGAACTGTTGTTGTTGTTGTTGTTGTTGTTGTTGTTGTTGTTGTTGTTGTTGTTGTTGTTGTTGTTGTTGTTGTTGTTGTTACGGTCCCGGGGCTCGGCAAGTGCAACCAGGAGCCTGAAAACGGGCAACCACTTTCCGTCGTGACTCCTGCCGCGCCGAGAGGTCTGGGTTCTCAATCCTCCAGGACCACCTTCCCTTCATGATTTCGGTTTTAGGACGCCCGAAACTGGTACCGAAAATTTGGCACGATGCCCAACAGCGAGTGTCGTCCAAAGCCGGCAACGGTCGCTGTTGAGCAAGCGACATGCCTCTCCCAAACGGGCAGCTTCCGCGGGGAGGAAGCCAATGAGTCCTGCTCAAAATAGACAGACGATGCCGTGGCCTCTGTTAAGGTCGATCGGGGATGAGAAGGAAAATAAGAGGGAGAGAGGTAGGAGGAGAGGAGGAGGAGGAGGAGGAGGAGGAGGAGGAGGAGGAGGAGGAGGAGGAGGAGGAGGAGGGAGGAGGAGGAGAGGGGAGGGAGGAGGAGGAGGAGGAGGAGGAGGAGGAGGAGGAGGAGGAGGAGGAGGAGGAGGAGGAGGAGGAGGGAGGAGGAGGAGGAGGAGAGAAAGGGTGAATGCGGAACGCGAAAACAGGAAGGAGGAGGAGGAGGAAAAGGAGGATGATGATGAGGAGGCGGAGGCGGAACGGAGGAGGAGGAGGAGGAGGCGGAGGAGGAGGAGGAGGAGGAGGAGGAGGAGGAGGAGGAGGGGGAGGGGGAAGAGAGGGGAAGGGGGAGGAGCGATGAGATGGAACGTGGAGAATGAGGAACGCGAGGGCAGGGAGGAGGAGGAGAAGGAGGAGGAGGCGGAGGAGAAGGAGGACGAGGAGGAGGAGGAAGAGGAGGAGGAGGAGGAGGAAGAGGAAGAGGAGGAGGAGGATGAGGAGGAGGAGGAGAACGAGGAGGAGGAGGAGGAGGAGGAGGAGGAGCAGGAGTGGGGGGGGGAAGGAGGTTAGAAAAGGGAGACATGGTAAAAGGGAGGAAAGAGAGTAGGACGCGGAGGATGAGGAAGAAGAGGAGACGGAAAAGGAGGAGGAGGAGGATGATGATGAGGAGGAGGAGTAGTAGCAGACACGGCCTATGCTATATTGTTTGCTGAATTGACCCCGTTCTTCTTTGACACCATTGTAATAGATCCCAACATTTACAACCTCGTCTACAATCTTGCTCTCTGCTCTTGTGTTGACCGCGTGTGCTTAATATACATCATTTGCCGTTGGTGCCGTGCCGTTTTCTCGTTCACCCTCCTCTTCCATTGCATATCAGGAGCTTTCATATGTGTAGTCTTCGCTCGTGCGATCTTCCCGGTTCAAGACCAGGCAGAGGAGTGATGATGGCATAACTCCCAGTCCTCGTTCCAAAGGCGGGGCCTGTTCACTCACGGTTTGTGATATTTCGTCTTGCTCGTGAGTGCCCGGAGTATCGTCTCATTGCGTCATAATCCATTACCATTGTACCAGAGCCGCAACTCTGCCAGTGCCCTCTTGTGTGCGGTGGAGCAAAATACTTTCAAGGCTTCTTCCGAACGATCTGTCCAAGACGCCTTGACGGCCTCCAGACGGCCCAAGAGACCTGCCAAACGCCCCTAAAAGGCCTCCAGGAGCTTTCCCACGAGAGCCCCAAGAAGCAACATCCATGGATTCCCCATACGGTTTTGACAAATTTTGGCGTTCTTGCCTCTTCCGCTTCCCTACGCGCCAACACGGCCCAAGAGGCCCCCAAGATCGCCCCGAAACGGCCCAAGAGGCCCCCAAGAGGGCCTCCTTCACGGCCGAAGTGGGCCCTAAAACGGCCCAAGACGCCTCCAAGACTGCCCAAAAAGGCCCCCAAGCCGACTCCAGGAGAGTCCCCGGACGGGGGACCCGAACGGGCATTTCTAGCTCTCAGCCCCAGAAGGCCCCCAAGAGGCCCCGAAGAAGCTCCAAGAGGCTCCCAAGGGGCCCCCAAACAGCCCCAAGGCAGCCCAGGAGAGCCCCAAATTGCCCAGGAGGCCTCCAAGAGCGCCTCGAGACGGCGCAAGAGGAGCCCTGGACTGTCCAAGACGGCCTCAGGAGAGCCACAGGCTGTCCCAAGAAAGCCTCTGGCCTCCTCCTCTTCCTCCTCCTCCTCCTTCTCCTCATGCCCCGCCCCATCTGCTCCCCCTCCTCCTGCTCTCCTCTGCCTCCTTCTCCTCCGCTTGCTTCTCCTCCACATCCTTCTCGCCCTCTTCCTCTCTCATCCACCTCCTCCACCCTGCCCCCCCTCGTTTTCATCTTCGTCGCTCTCAGGGTCGGCGACAACGGCCGTAAGGCCTTCGCAATGCTTTCAAGGCTTCTTCCTGCTCATTTTCTTCCTTGTTTTCGTCTTCTTCCTTCCTGTATGTGCTGCCCATGGATGTTGACTACGTGCGTACTATCCGGGTCTTCCCCAATATTGAAGGAACACATTTCCCAGCATCCCTTCATAGCGTCTCAGAGGAGCGAGTGTGGAACGCAATTGCCCGACATTGTTACATCCCTCTCCCTCACACGCCCGGGGCCGTCCACGAACACCTCTGCGAATTACTCGGCGTGTAGAATGTCAATCAATATCGGCCAGCCTGTTTTGCCGAACGACTCCAAGACATCCGGTGCGTCTAGGGCAATTGGCTTATGAGTTGAAGGGATTCACACATGTGTTGGCACGCGTATTCATTCTCTGGCATCGTGTTGGGTGCGCGATTCCTCGCCCGGTTCCATGACACTCAACATTGGGCCCGCTGGGCCCTACGAGCAGCTAGCCCAGAAATACAGAGGACAGTGTTGGAGTACAAATTCAACAACACCGCATGGAACACACATATTGCACACCATGCACGTCTTCAACATCCCCCGCCCTCCACCTCCGACACCCTCGTGTACGCGGCGTTTTCCATGGAGTCTAGCGTGTGGTATTTGGGAAAAGCGCACCAATGTCGTAGACATGATAATAGGAAGAGTGGGCACGGTAGCACAGTCAGACTTCGGGAACACTTGCAGGCAGGCAACTTTTCGTGGCATGGGGGACCAAGCGGAGCGCCTAAGATACAAGTCCTGGCGACGCGTATCTCGGCAGTCCCTGGTGCTACTTCCGATTGCGTTCGGGTCAGGATCGCACATATCACGCTACGAGCAACTCGCTATTGAGGTACTCGAGCCGCCGACGCAGCGAGGCGCCAGAGTTTTGCAGCGAGGACAAGATTCCTGACCCAGAGCATACCCAAGATTCCGAGCGATGCCAGAATTGGCAAAAGGAATATTCCCTCAACCCCCTGTACCTCCAACGTGTGCACGCTTCCTTCAGATCACGGTTCCAAGATACAGCGTGCACGTTCACTGTACTATGTAATTGGTTCTGGACCCATCTCAACACGTCTCAACGAAAGGTCAAACCACAGATGTACCATCGCGGAAAGGAATTCAGGCTTGCTCTATATCTCGGCCAATACCAAGCCAGAGTGGATTTTGCATACGTGGAGACATTCGAGAATGTCTGAATATTTGTTGTGTGCGGGCGCTGTGCGTGCACCTACCTGCTGTGAAATGTAGTCGAACTCGCCGGAAATCGAACATTCTCTTTCTACTGGGAAACCTACTACCATCAAGCCTTTTCGTCATACCATTGCCGTGCAGCGTGCCATTCCTACAGCATCGATGCAAACTATTATTCCGGAAACATTTGAAAATATGTGCCACAAATCGCACGCCAGATGTGGAATAATATTTGTGGAAGCGAACCAAATTCGTTTTCACGAAGACGGGCTTGAGCCAAAAAGGTTACGGAGGAGGAGGAGGAGAAAAAAAAAAGGAGGCGGAGGAGGAGGAGGAGGAGGAGGAGGAGGAGGAGGAGGAGGGAGGAGGAGGGGGAGGATGCGGCGGAGGATGAAGAGGGAGAGGAGGAGAAATGGAGCATGAGGAAAGGGAGCAAGGAAGGAGGAGGAGGCGGAGGAGGAGGCGGAGGAGGAATATGAGGAGTGGGGGGAGGGGGATGAGGCGGAGGAGGCGGAGGGGGATAATGAAAACGGGAGCAGCGGACGGGGGGGGGAGGAGGAGCAGGAGGAGGAGGAGGAGGGGGGGAGGAGGAGGAGGAGGAGGAGGAGGAGGAGGAGGAGGAGGAGGAGGAGGAGGAGGAGGAGGAGGAGGAGGAGGAGGAGGAGGACCTGGCCGACGCGCCCTGCCGCCGAGCGGCGGCCTGCGGCGCGCGCCCGCTGCCGCAAAACGCCCCCGCGCCGCAGAGCGCCGCCGCGGCGGCGGCGCCGAGCAGGACGACCGCGAGCAGCGGGGCGCGGCGGGCGGGCATCGCGGCGTGGGACCGACGGCCGAGCTCCGCGGCGAGCGACGGGGGAGACATGAGAAGGAGGAGGCCTTCTCAGAGGGCAGGGAGGCTGTTTTTTTTGTGTTCTCTTCTCTTTTTCCCGGAGAGCTCTCTGAGAGCTAGAGGGTTTTAGATTAGAAGCCGGATGGTGGTGGTGCCCGCCAGCAGCCCATCTCCGCCGGTCCACGATCCTCGCAGCGGCTCGCCCGTGCCGGCAGCTGGTCCGGGAGCGCTTCCGGCACGCGTCCACGCGTGCCTGCACGCGTGCAGGCACGCATGGAGGCGTGTGCCTGGCAGCGCTTCCGGAGCGCTTCAGGGGAGCCCCGCAGAGCTCTCCAGAAAAGATTTCCCGTCTCCGAGGGTCTCTCCGCTCTCCAAGGTTTGGACGCTACCAAGTGTTGGAGGCAGCGGGGCTTCTCAGAAGGGCTCCGGCCGGCCTTCTGGGGAGGCTTTCTGTGTCTTCGGGGGGTGAGCCTAAACCCTAAATTTCTCATCCTATAATTATAAAAACCCTAATTACTGCAAAACTGGCCACCATGCAACCCGGCCTCATCTACTGCAAAAAAAACATTCGCTGAGCATGCGTGCAGAATCTCTTGTATTTTACACTACAAAGTGTCCGGTCCCCGTTGCGATCCGCCCCCATTTACGGCAAAAAATGTCATTTGCTGAGCATGCGCGCAGAATCTCTTGTATTTTACACTACAAAATGCCCGGTCCCCGTTGCAACCGGTTTATGTAAACCGGCTCCATCTACTGCAAAAGAAACATTTGCTGAGCATGCGTGCAGAATCTGCTGAGCATGCGTGGAGAATCTCTTGTATTTTACCATACAAAATGCGACCCCCTTATGTACACCGGCTCCATCTCCTGCACACACTCGCGCTTCCTGCGCATGCGTGCAGAATCTTTAGTCCGTTAGAGCACTCGCGTGCCCACTGGATCGCACATCCGTCGTCGCCGTCGTCGTCGTCGTCGTCGACGCTGCACTCGCTCTAGTTCTAACGAGGGGAGAGATGATCTTTATGGTGGGGTGGCTTGCGGGTGGGACTGACGGCCACCGCAGGTGGGTTCGCGGTCACGGTGTACTCGTGGCCACGCCTAGTAGACCCTAAACCCTAAACCCTAAACCCTAAGTCCCTAATCCTATAATTATTCAACCCTAATTACCATACCGTATCTTGTACCCAGCCCCCGTTTGCGACCCCCCTCCATCTACGGCAAAAAAAAATAGCATTTTCTGAGCATGCGTGCAGAATCTCTTGTATTTTACAATGCAAAGTGCCCAGCCCCCGTTGCGACCCGGCCCCATCTACTGCAAAACAACAGCATTTCCTGAGCATGCGCGCAGAATCTCATGGATTTTACAATACAAAGTCCGACACCGTTATGTAAACCCGTTCCATCTACTGCAAAAAACAGATTTTGCTGCGCATGCGTGCAGAATCTCTTGTATTTTATAATACAAAGTGCCCAGGCCCCGTTGCGACCCGATCCATCTATTCCACAACGTCGCATTTGCTGCGCATGCGTGCAGATTCTCTCCCGCCCGACCCGACTCTTCCCGCCCGTTACAGCACTCGCGTGCCAACAGGATCGCACCTCGCTCGTCGCCGTCGTCGTCGTCGTCGTCGTCGTCGACGTTGTAGTCGATGTGGTTCTACCGAGTGGAGAGATGATCTTTAAGGTGGATGGCGTGCGGGGAGTGACGGCCACCGCTGGTGGGTTCGCGGTCCAGGTGTACTCGTGGCCACGCCTAGTATACCCTAAATTCTTAATCCTATAATTATTAAATCCTAATTACTGCAAAAGCGGTCACCATGCAATCCGGCTCCATCTACTGCAAAAAATTGCATTTTCTGAGCATGCGTGCAGGATCTCATATTTTTTTACAGCATGAAGTGGGCGGTCCCCGTTGCGAGCCCGCGCCATCTACTGTAAAACATAACATTTCCTGAGCATGCGTGCAGCATTTCTTTTTTTTTACAACGCAAAAAAAACAGGTGCTGAGCATGCGCATGTACCATCCTGAGCATGCGTGCAGAATCCCATGTATTTTACAATTCAAACTGCGACCCCCTCATGTACAACGGCTCCATCTCCTGGACCACCTCGCCGCGCGCGGGCGTGTTCGTTTACACCGATGTTGTTCCAAGGAGAGGAGAGATGATCTTTATGGTGGGGTGGCTTGCGGGTGGGATTGACGGCCACCGCAGGTGGGTTCGTGGGCACGTCGTACTCGTGGCCAAGCCTGTTAGACCCTAAGGTATGCGTCGCTGTCGGGATGCCCCAGACGCATGCGAGCCTTGGTCGGAACGTTCAGTGGAGCGCCCGGAGAATCTACGGATAGGGAGAGGTTAAGCTCGACCGCCCACACGCCACGACTCAGGCTGGCTACGCCACAGGCTACCTGCGTAGCAGGAAATAAGAACCCCACAGCCGGAACCCAACCACAGCGAGCCCGCAAGACCCCCCAGGGCCCGGGCTCCTTTTAAGCAAACAGTCACACACACACACACACACACACACACACACACTTCGTGCTCTTCGACCTCCCAGAACTCCATTCCCGGGCCGCATTGAATGCCCGGAACCAACTGTAGGCCACTTCGTGCTCTTCGACTTCCCAGAACTTTATTCCCGGGCCACATTTTGAATGCCCGGAACCAACTGTAAGCCACTTCGTGCTCTTCGACTTCCCAAAACTCCATTCCCGGGCCACATTTTGGATGCCCGGAGCCAACTGTAGGCCACTTCGTGCTCTTCGACTTCCCAGAACTCCATTCCCGGGCTACATTTTGAATGCCCGGGGCCAACTGTAAGCCACTTCGTGCTCTTCCACTTGCCTGGGGCTAGCGTTGCGTCAACCTTGCCGGCCGGCCGGCCGGCTGACGCACGCGACGCGCTGCCTGGTGCGTCGCATCGAGGGGGCGCCAGGCCCGCCCCTCGAGCTCCCCCTCCCACCATCCGAGACAAAGCGCTGCGCGTGCGCCACCGCGCAGAATCGCTCCTGCGAGAATCGGAAAAGGTCGCCCGGTCGGGCGTCCCCCAACGCGCGAACGAACCCCGGAGACTCTAGGACGACGTGGTGTCAGCGCGGGAACCTCGCGCGCGCGCGAGCCGCGGAGCGTCCGGCGAGCTGCTCCTCCTTTGTCGTGGCCCACCATGATCGCTTCTGAGATTGAGGCATCTGCGTAAGTTTACTTCAATCGCCATATGCGCTCGCCAGCGCGCCTGGGCATCGAAAAAGAGCGCGCAGGCGCGGTTCTGGCGTCGCCAGCGTAACATGGGCCACAAGGTACGACACCTCGTTGGCCGGCAAACCGCTGCGCGTGCGCCACCGCGCAGAACCGCTCCTGCGAGAGTCGGAAGAGATCGCCCGGCCGGGCGTTCCGCAACGCGCGAACTAAACCTGGAGGCTGTTCCCCAATGCGTTACAGCGCCTGCGCGTTCTCAGGTAAGACGACGTTGTGTTCGACACCCCCATGAGTGGGGGCTGGGGGGAAGAACTCTCGGTGTCCCTGAACCCTAAAAGAGAATAGCCGGGGTGGATTGGGGCGGGAGGACAAGCAACGCGAGCGCGCACACAGCATCCCACCCCCAACAATCTTGATGTGGGGGTGGGATGCGCGCGCGCGCCCACACCGCTTGGCGGGCAACGCCCTAAACCCTAGACGCTAAACCCTGGGAGACACTTCCGAGCCCAAAGGGCCCCAAGAGGCAATCTTCATTGATTTCCCTGAAGTTTTGGACACATTTGTTTTTTTCTGGCTTCCCGACGCTCGAAGATGGCCCAAAAAGGCTCCCGAGATCGCCCCCAGAGGGCCCGCGAGGGCCCCGAGACAGCCCCGACACGTCCCAATATGGCCCCAAGACAGCCCAAGAGGCGCCCACAACGGTCCAAGAGAGCTCCAAAACGACCCCAAGCGGGGCCAAAAAAGGTGTCCGGGAAACGAAAAGTCCAGCCGTCAGCCCCGAGTGGCCCCCGGGAGGCCCTCGAGAGGCCCCGAGGGGCCCCCCAGAAACGCCCCAAGAAGTCCTAGAAGCCCAAAGAGGCCCCAACACGGCTCCCAAGAAGCTTCAAAACTGCCCCCCAAAAGGCACCTGAGAGTCCAACCGCGAGAACCCAACCAACGTCCGCGAGGCCTCTGACCCGCCACCCGCCGCCCCCGAAAAATGGCAGCCGCCCAGCCGCGCCGCAGTGACAACAACGCCCCGGCAAACGACCGCGGTGAGGCAATATGGGCCGACGGAATGAGCGAAGCGATTAAATAATTATTCACTGCGTGGAGCTCCCCATATGTGCATCTACTCGCATGGACCTGTCCGCCGTGAATGTCTAGGCGCAAGAGCTTTCGAATATTAACGGGCTTCAGTTGTGACGGTCTGGACATCAATCTAACTGCGAATGAATTGGAGTGTGAATGAGCCTCAGTAGTACGAGCGCGTCTCTGTGCATGAGCCTGGGGCCTCCTGGGGCCTCCTGAAACCTACTGGGGCTTCCTGGGGTCTCCAGGGGCTCTTGGGACCTCCTGGGACCTCCTAGGAAGGTTTCGTGCCCCAGGGGAGGCGCAATCTATAGCAACAGACGTGCATAAAACATTGCGGATTAGAGCCACTTTTTTTTAATGACAAGGCAGCCCGTGCAGCACGAACCGATCCTGCCGCCAGGATGGCGAGCCGCAAAATGCGGCGAGGAGGCCCGCAAACAGCGGCCTCCGAAAGCAGCGCGCACGCCGCGCTGCATGGGCATGCGCCGTCAGGTGTGGCAGCCGCACGAGCCACCATCCACCCCGTGCCGAGCCTGAACAGGCTCAGACCACCGAAGGCACTCCCCAACTCAATCACTCAGGCGCTTGCCCGTCTTTGGGTCCAAGCCCGCCCTGATGTTAGCGACCTTCAGGTTGCGCAGGCGCAGCGCATTGCCTGAGGCTGCGACGCACGTCTTGCCGAGCGTCCTGCGTTTGCCATTGATCTCCTTGGCGTACGCCTTGCAGCGCGTGCAGATCCTGAAGCCGTTGATGCTGAGGAGCGCG